TGGAGGTTCATGGGAAGCAGATCCTTCCAGCTAGTTTCTTAGTGTCCCATAGGTGCATATGTGTAATTTACTCGGCAAAACGTAAGCTATAAAATTTCAGACAATTTTATAAACATATGAGGGACTTTTTAAATTAAACATTCATTCAAATTGTTTTTAAAGTTGACCTTAAAGATAATTAAATCTGAGCCAAAATGACTTACCCAAGTTTGTGTTCATTTTTTTCCAGCTTCGAGAAAAAGTTTCTTTGCTGTGGTTACTTGGCTGTGTTTTTGTTACATGATTGCTGAAATGCTGCCCTTCTTGATGTCATTTCCCATCACTCTCTTTTTCTTCCCAGGTTTTTAAATTTAAAATTCCATCTAATGGGATTCATTATACAGAGCCCATGATGTTACTAATAATGTCTTCAGATCATATGCCCAATCTTATAATGGTTGCATGTAAACAAAGATATGTGGGCCACTACAGACATTAGGATTAAAAAGCACAGGATGCTTTAAGGAGGATGAGAGTGGAGGAAGCAAAGAAGATAAAATGAAATAGCATTGGGGTGGAATGAACTTTTTTCAGGATTTTAACTTCATCAGATCATCACCTTTTTTGTAATAAATGGTAAGGTTGGAAGGAATGCACCAAGCATGCTTTTAAATAATGAAAATGACTAGGGAGCAGTAGTGTGTTTTTAAAAGCTATGAATATTCATGGGGGTAGAAGAGGAAAACCTAGCTCAGTGGTTTTCCATTGAGGTTAAAACTTAGATAGGGTTGCAGACCAGGGCTACAAAGTATGGATAACCATTAGGTTGCAACAAAGCATTAGAACTTTCTATGTCTCTTTGCTACTATCTGGTGGTCGTCTGAAATTTTACAGCCCAAATCTGGTAGCCTGGTTTAAGGCATATTGTGGTATAATGTGACCAAACTGGTAAGAAATGGGATGGGGAACTTCATAGTAGAATTCTGAACTTTCCAAGAACCATCAGGATAAAAAAGATCTCTAGACAGCAGCACTAGCCTAAAATATTTTACTGCCAGAGACAGAAGAGAAAATGATTGCTCAAAGTGCTTAAGGCCTGTAAGGGAATTTTGTAAGCTCAGCAGAAAATCTCTTCCTTGATAGCATAAAACATTACATGACCAGTTTCTATTATGTTAATGACCCTCAAATCAGGTGCCAAAGACCATTCAGGGACCTGCCAACTGTCCATTATCTTGGAAAGCCAGAAAGAAGAAATATTAAAATGTCCTAGCATAGGTTTATAAAGGCTCTGAATTCTTGATGTACTATAAACAATGAACTCTTGTGTTAAGGCTGCTTCTTCTTCTTCTTCTTCTTCTTCTTCTTCTTCTTCTTCTTCTTCT